CTTTTCATTCTAAAAAACCACACCCAGGGGATGGGGATTTAGCTCTGCGGCAAAGTGCCTGCCTGGCAAGCCCAAGGTCGTGAGTTCGATTCCTGGTACCAGAAGAAAAAAAAAAAAAAACAACAATAAAAAAATAAAAAGCCACACCCAGTCCTAGTCCCCAACGCTGTCCTGAGAGCATCAATGTTCCCTTGCCCTAAGGAAAAGAGCCCAAAAGGAGAAAACTGATTACACTAGGCTGTACTTGAACTTGAAATCCTCCTGTTTCAGCCTCCTCAGTAGCTGGGATCACAGGTATGTGCCACTGTCTTCAGCCCAGGATGAGTTCTGAACTCCTGGCTCTGAAGATTCCAAGAAGTGATCAGAATTCAAGGACAGGGCGCTGGGCGTGGTGGCACACACCTGTAATCCCAGCACTTGGGCAGCTAAGGCAGGAGGACTGCCGTGCATTCGAAGCTAGGAAACACTCATCAGCCTGAGCATGTGACAGCAGAGAGAGGATAGGCTGACAGGAAGAAGTAAAATTGCAGGGTACCTTCTCCATCCATCTGGTGGTCACACAGAATGGGCCACACAGAACAGGTCAAAGTGCAGCTTCAAGAGTTAACCATCACGACAAATGCAAAAGTGCTTTCACAAATCACAAAGTGACACAGCACTTTTTCCACTTTCACAGGAATATCCAATTGTATGTTTACTTCAGTAATGCCAGCTTTCTACAAAAGGGGTAGTGTATATTGTGCTGCTGAGAGGCAGACACAGCTTGACTATAGAACTGAGCTTGCTGGAAAATGGAGATCAGTGTAACCCTTTGCCTTAACAGGAGATCTTCAAAGAAAAGGGGCACTCACATGAGCAGTCCGCCAGATGAAAATATTCTGATCAAAAAGAGTAGAATCCATAAAGTATCTCAAAAACTTTTTTTTTTTCTGGTACCGGGAATTAAACTCAGGACCTTGCACTTGCCAGGCAGGCGCTGTGCTGCTGAGCTAAATCCCCAACCCCTCAAAAACTTTTTAAAACCAGCATTGTATTTAAGTAACAATGCCAAAAATGCATCTTTACTTATTTTTTAACTTCCCAATTTTCTGATTCAACAATTCTTAATAAAACACCTGTCAAAAAAAGATAATCTACCAAAAAACAATGATACATACACTTAAATATCCTCCAGAAAGTATCTCTACCACCCCTACTACCCCTCTGAAGAATACCAGGCAGTATCAATTACTCCCTCCCTCCTCCCAAAGTGTATTTTTAAACTGGGGATTGAAATCAAAGTTATGTTCAGCTCAGAAATGCTTGTGCCAACTGTTTCCTTTTGTTTCTCCTCAGGGAAGGTGTCTGGGGAAATATTCCCACAGTGTTCAGTTCAAGGAAAGGTTGGGCTACTTAATGACACAATGCAGGCTGCCAAGAACCCAGGCACCCATTTGGCCACTTTTGTAAAACAATAGAAAGCTATGCCCTTGGAGGGGTGGGAACGCACGTAAGACAGGGAAAGGCACCTTCAGCCACACAACTCTTCTCCTGGGCAGCTCTCTTGCTGGCTCCCTGCTGCTGTCCACATGAGCACTTGTTGTAGGCACACTGATGGCTGAACTCTCTAAGGCACAGTCAAAAGAAGTGAACCATCCACCCATCCTGCTAATTTCAACGTTAAAACTTGGGGATACAAGCAGTAAAGCCAAAAGGATCACTCATTTTTAACAAAGATTGACTGTGAGTCTTTTAGATGCATTGGTCTGGGTCTAACAGTTTATCCGGCAGAAGGGCCCAATGCATTGACTACACTCCCAAAACAACCCCCTCAGTGAATTACAACAATCTTGCAGGCTTCCTCTAGAAAGCAAAAACAAACAGCCTGTTTTACCCAGTTGTGAAAAATACTCTGGCTTCCCTTCCACTGTCAGGTTAAGCAAAGGCTTCATCCCTGAAAGATCTGACAGCAGAGGAAGCTGAAGGGAAGTCCCTCCAACTTCTGAACTAGTCTGGCAGGCAGGTCCAGCTAGTATGTGGTGACAGCAAGGTCAGCAGTCTGTCACAGAACACAGCAGCCATCGTTGAGTGCAAACTCTAGCCAGAGCAGATGGCAGTGTGTAAATATTAATTAATATTAAATGACACCAGATGAGCACAAGTAACTGATGTCACAGTGAGAGTAAAATAATACTTCCTCTGTATATTCTTAGGAGCCCCTTTCTTGTTTGGAGACTCTACGTCTTCATTGATCTGTTTTCCTTCCATCAAAATCTTCCAATAGGTAAAAGATTTCTAGAGCAACAGAACAAAGTACCACGCATACGTCGCACTTGGGCCTCAGCTCCTGCATTAGCAGACCTGGACACAGGCCTCTGGCTCCTCTCCTACCTTCCTGACATCTTCAATCATATCCAGGGGCTCCTCGCATTGATTACTAGCACACATCTCTCTACCAACCCACAGTCCCCTCCTTTGCAATCACAGGCTCAAGTATCCACTCTACCTAAAAGACTCCCTCAACTCCAGGCTCCTAGAATTCTAGCTCAGAAAGTACAGTGGCCTGAATTAAGGTCCCCCTATCTTAGCCAGCTCAACACCTGCAAAACTGGACTTCTCTTAACCCAGAAACTGGTTTCAATTTCCCTACATTTACTCTTTCAGAAGCCTGGGTACCTCTGATTCCCCACAACTCCTTCTCTGTCTACCCCCAACCCCACCAGTCAGCAGGCTGATTCCATCTTTCTCCAGAGTGTACTTTATCTGTCCCTCACCCTGTCATGCCCATCACCAGCTACACAACCTGACCCTTGTTAACTGAGAGCTAGAGCTTGCTCCCTGCTCAGGGTCTCTCCCCATTAATAACATGACACAGACAAGGTTCAAAGTGAGGGCTGTCTGGCTCCAAAGTTGCTCCTCCCTGCTTCAAAAAACTTTGTCCTCCAAAGCCTATCGTTTGAAATCCAAACTCCCTCAGTTTAGGCTTTTCTAAATCTAACAATTTGACCTTGCCAGATTTTCCCCTCCACTACAATGACTGATAACACCATCCTCATTAAATGGGGTATGTTTCTGCTTTGGTTTCAATATTCCACCCACCCACAGTGATTTTCTTCCTAGTTCCATGCTTTTCTAACGCTTTACTTCTTTTACAAACTAGATCAAGCGATACTGTATATCCTATATTCCTACAGACATCATTCACAAGTTAACTTAGCAATTATGTACTGTCATTACATCTCATCTATTACTGTCTTGAACTTTAATTCATAGAAAGAACTCATACATCATTGTAAACATACAAAATGGCATGGTCACTTTGGGAAGTAGGTTGGTAGTTTCTTAGAAAGCTAAACATAAAATTACCATTTTTACTGTGTTTAGCAGGGCCACACATGTCCAAGCAATGAATTGTGAAATTAACGTGTCACTTCCAAATCAGAAGTTTGTGCTAGAATCTCCACAGCTCCTTCCCTCACACTACAACCAGCAACGGCAATGGCTGAGCCTAGACAAGGGCAACATGAAGCAGATCCCCAGCTAATCAGCAACACATAGAGACTGCAAGTGAGAAAGTATGCTGTGACTACACTCTCTGGAGCTCTACCGCAGCACAGCACAACACAGCTGGACACACAGTTGTGGGGCTCTGAGGCCGTGAAATTACATATTTTAAATCTCTCATCCAAAACTCTTCCTAAGATCCCTGATTCTCCGGGTCTCCGTGACAAGCCACTCTTCACCCTTCACCTTCTCTGCCCAGCTCTCTGACCCTTTCTCCACCTCTATTTCCTTATACATTCTATTCCTTCTACTTACCTGCTTAAACCACGCTGTTGACCAAGGTTTGTCTCAGCTTATGACTCATCTTTTAGTCTCCCGAAAGAACTTAGCACTTGGGATTTCCTCACCTACCTGCTCCACAAGTATCACAAACTGAACACATCCTCAAGCAAAGGCTTCGGCTGTCCTGCTGCTGCACCGCATTTCCTCCTCCAGCTCCCGTCTCAGGTAACAGCACTTCTTCACCCAGATGGGCAGCATGGCAGGCTGCCAGTCACTCACCATTCTCCCTCACTCCACCCTCCATCAGCCAGCCCTGCCAATCCTACCGCTTTCACCATGTGCTGGTACTGTCTAGACTGTTCATTTCTGATTGTGTAATGCTTACTATATTATATATTATGGAAAATTATATCAGGCTCAGGAAATGTCTTACTTTAGTAACAGAAATGGCAATGATGCTCGATCCAAAACAAACACTTCAGCCCAGATCAAGAAACAAGAAAGTTATAATTTGCGAGTACACAACTGTGAAACTTGGCCCATAGTAACCTTCATGGTATTTCATATCTTTAGCCACCTGTTCAAGCAAAGGTCTCAACACAGTCCTTAATTATTTAAAGATGCTGTCCTTAATTATTCATATTATGATTTAATACAAAACAAATCCCACCAAATATTTATGTCTTGTTTTCTTCTTATAAATGAATCCATGAGAAAATATCTCCTGTCATCTTACTTTCTCTAAATTATTTGATTTCTAAACTGAAAAAATTCTGGGGGCTGGGAATGTAGCATAGGGCAGAGCACATGCTTACCATGCACAAGTCCCAGAGATCAGTCTGTGGCACCACAAAAGAAAAAGTTGGCCAGGCATAGTGGTGCCCGCCGTGCTGTAATCCTAGCACTTGGGAGGCTGAGGCAGGAGGATCGTTGCAAGTTCAAGACCAGCCTGGGCTACAAAGTGAGCTCAAGACCAGCCTGAACTGCAGAGCGAGACCCTGTCTCAAAAAGACAAAAAAAAAAAAAAAAAAAAAAAAAGAAAGAAAGAAAGAAAAAGTTAATTCTGCTGTACAAAACAGTACAGTATCTCAACACGTTCAGCACAAATACTTCCCCAATCAAATGAAGTCCCTAACCAAAGTAGCCCACACAAATGTCACCTGTACTTTATAATAAAATGCTGTAGAGTGACTGGCATCTTTTGGTTAAAGTAACCATTACACAACAACACATGCTTATCATTCTTTGGTTTTCAACCTCAAAAAAGTCAAAATTTATTCTCCACATGGAAAAGTTCTCACAGGGGCACACTAAGTTACAAAGACAAAAAAAAAAGTATTTTATCACTTTACAAGCCAGCAGTGAATACAACTGAATAACTATAAACATGACACTTCTAAATTCTCAAATGGAGCTGAAGACCAGAATGTGTTTCTCTTAAAAGTGAGTTAAAACTGAAATTTCAAGAGCCAGGCAAGGTGGCACACCTCTGTAGTCCCAGCAGCTCAGAAGGCTGAGACAGGAGGCAGCTTTAAGCCCAGGAGTTCAAGAACAGCCTGGACAACATAGCAAAACCCCATTCCACCAATGCTCCCGTTCCCCAAAATCCACAACTTCTGGCAAGAACTTTACTTTTTGTACCTGATCATGAATGCTCAATCCAGGCAATGCTATTACTGCACATTTTAAGCAACTACCTAAGCATTTTTAACAACCTAACACCTTGCCTTTAAACTCTGCAAAAAGAACTGTTAAAAAAATTATTGTAAAGCCCAGAAGGGCAGAACTACTCATACCTTGTTTCCACTTTTCTCATGATGAAAAAATGTCAACACTTAACTGGGTGTAGTAAAAAGTTATCAAAGCAATGTCAAATATCCCACTGCACAAACACTAACCCAAATTGGTATTAGGCAACAAACAGTAACACTTTTAAATAGCATATATTATTCTGGAAACACTAGCAACTTCCTTTCAGGGTACCACTGTGTGTGTGTGTGTGTGTGTGTGTGTGTGTGTGTGTGTGTGTGAACGCGCGCGTGTGCGCGCATGCGTGTATGCAGGTATGGATGTGTGCACACATGCTCAAGAGTAGAGCTTGAATCTAGGACCTTGGGCATGCTATGCAAGTACTCCACCACTGAACTACAGCCCAGCCTAAGTCACCATTTTAATAATTTCAATTCAACAGCAAGAGTTACATGGTAAGCACTCATTAATATATGAAAATGGGGGAGGAAACGGGGGCACCAACAAAAATTGTTTAAGCTGATATTTTATCTTTCTTCAAGATCAAGCATAACGTTTTTCTTTAAGAACATCTTCATTGAGGTATTGCTATTTAACATGTGGATAGTTTTATAGTCCCAGACCAAATGGTCCAGCTGGCTGCTAAGAAAAAGGTTTCATAGGTTAATAATATATCACATTAAGTGTCAGTTCAAGATGTTTGTGAAGACTACTTTTAATTGCTGCAATAGCAGAATGTTAAGGCAACATCAGAAAGCAGAGGTGTTCTAAAACACTAAGCCCGGTTCCCCACCTGATATAACCAAATAAGATGTTACTAAATCCCTTAATACAAAAATGTTCCAAAATAATCTGTTGGAGCTTGACTTTGCAATTTAATCTTTTATATTTTAATGGCAGGGAGAAAAAACCCAGGCCTATAATTCCCTTTGCAAAAAATTCAAAATCCAATTTACTCACAAAGCTTAAATAAGGAAGAAAAAAGTATGTTCTCTTTGCTTGTCAAGCATCCTTTTTAATTTTTCTACTGTATCCAGGCTATAGCTGGGAATGGATGGCTAATTTGAATATAGAAAATATCAAGTGTCACTTCTGGAAGAATCACAAACGACACAATAAACTTCTCAATCAGTACATCACCAGTCAGGGTAAGCAAGAAAAGGACTTTACCAAGAGACTAACATTTACACTTTTTGACACAACTGAAATACAACAAATTACAGAGCAAATTCACCAAAACAACAATGAAAACTCTGTCCATGTAAAGCCTAATTTTAACTCCCAAAAAAGTGTTTCAATTCTTTTACTCACAGCACACAACTGGTTAAGAAAATAAAGCACAGTGCTTAGCAACTGGGCATCCCAACTACAGAAAGAGGCACTCTGTGCTCACCCATCCCTGGCAACTGCTGGGTCAGCAAGGCCAGGAGCAGGGAGAGCCTCCTATTTTTCAACACAAGCTGCTGCCGTTTCCTTATTGAAGCCCCGGATGGAGAGATCATAAACCACCTCCTCTACTTTCTTCACATCATACTTCAAGCCATCATAGCGCTTCCTCAGAGAGTCGTTTTTCAGGTTGAGAAGGCGGAAACCGGAATCCAGCTCATTGATGAAAGTAGAGATGTGGAGGGGCCGGGAGTAGTCTCCAGCAGTCACACTGTTAACAGACAGCCTCGACTGCACAGGAAAAGAAAAATGTGCATTACAATGTGGCTCCTCCTTCGCATCTTCCTGAGTCACAACAACTAGAATCTCAGGCCTTGTCAGCTACTCTGATGTTCTCAGCTTAGGGCAAGTGTAAGCACAGGTAGAAGAGAAGCTTCTCTGAAAAGACTCCTATGTCAAAGGAGACATTTCCTGCCAAATACAGGTTTAGTATGATTAATGTCTTCAAAAATTTCTGTAATGCCTTAAACTGGCTTCTGTACAACAAAGTGTGTTAACTTAGCAGGTGTCAACTCATCAGCTAAGGTACTGAAGAAAGAAATGGCAGGGTCATCACAACAGCTCTAGCTTTTCGAATCAGGGCCACACGATCACATTTCTAGAGCTCACCTGCTGAGCTGCAACTCCAGTCACCTAAAATCGCTTAAGACAGGCAGGAAAATAAGCTAAAATTAACTTCAGTGCATAACTGCCTGGGATGATAGTAAGACTAATTTCAAGATCCAATTCAAAATTCCCCTTCTAAATAAAATCCCCCCACTCTTCTGGGCTTCCCTAAAGTGCCCATTTAATGCATTCACAGCACATGCGGTATTAAAGACACCTCACACTAACCACTTATACTGGTAAGGTGTTACAATTCAAGTTTACCAGTCAGGTGTCTCCAATAAGCCTTAGGCAAGTGGTATAGCCTGCCAGTGGACCCAAGTACCATTTCTCCCCACCTTCCTTAGTCTGAATTCCTCAAATTTTCACCACATACATGCCTACCCCAATAGACTCTATTTTTTCCTCCCCTAACAACAAGGCACTAGAACTCTGGGGGGTCATTGTTTGCAGTGCTAGAGATGGGACTCAGGGCCTTATACATGCTAAGCAAGCACTCTTCACTCAGCTACATCCTTAGCTTTAAGGCACTAGACTGTCAAATATGAGTTGTGTGTAGAGCTTGAAACAAACATCTTTAGTGAGGGGTCCACCCTTTTACCTAACTCCTCTACTATTGTCTGTAACGAAGACATAAATTATCAGAGATACAGCAAGTTCTGGAACATGAGAAAAGAACCCACAGGCTAGATGGATACAGGGCCAAAACTCAAAGCAGCACTATACTAGCCCTGGACTGCTTTCCTCTTGAGCAAGACTAGGCATATTCTGTAAGAGCCAGACAGTGTAACATGTTCATTCTAGGAGCTACACTATCTCTTACAACTCCTCGAAACTCTACTAACAGCTTTCCTTATTCTGTAGAATTATTTTTATATAAAAATTACCTAAGAGAGATTCAGGGAATCCAGAATAAGAACAACTTACAAAAAATAACAGTATCTTATACCATTATATAAATTGTTCTCTAAAATTATTAAATGAATTAACATGGTTACCAGGAATACATGTCATCACTACATGAAGAACAGGTACTACCAACTTTTAAAACTTCACAGATTAAAGCCAGGCACAGAAGGGCATATATAATCCCAGCTACTTGGGAGACTGAGGCAGGAGGATAAACAAGTTCAAGTCTAGCCAGGGCAAATGCTATGGATTAGATTAAAATGCTCCCTATGGTTTAATCTATGGTTTGGATTAAAAGTCTCCAGTTCAGAAGTGGGACTCTTAAAAGATGACAGGATTGTGGTGAACCATACTCATCAATGAATCAGTCCACTGATGAGTTCAGAGCCTACTGTGCTGTTCAAAGGCAAGACCTGAAAGGACAGGGTTCACCACTGGGGGCAGACACAGAAGGGCATATGCTCACCCCTGGATCCTCTCTTCTCTCTGTGCTGCCTGACTCCCATGATGGGAGCAGCATTCCTCTACCAGGTCTTTCCATCTTGCCATTTCTGCTTTGGAGATGGTCCACCATGCACTGAACCCAGTGAAACTATGAGTCAAAAGAAACCTCTCCTGCTGGGCGTGGTGGCACACACCTGTAATCCCAGCACTCAGAATGCTGAGGTAAGAGGATCGTTCCGAGTTCAAGACCCGGCTGGGCTCCAAAGTCAGCTAAAGGCCGGCCTGAACTGCACAGCAAGACCCTGTCTCAAAAAGACACAAAAAACAGGAAGACTCTCTTCCTTTAAGTTGCCAACAGGAGCGATGACTAACACAGCAACTACTTAGTCACACTGTCTCAAAACTTAAAACAAATTAAAAAGTACTGAGATGTATGTAACTCCATGATGGAACACGTGCCTAGCATTTGCAAGGCCCTCAGTTCAAACCCCAGTACCACAAAAAATAAATAAAATTACATATTAATTTTAGTAACACATAGTTTACTAATTACAAAGTTGTCTCATCCTTTCTTTTGGGCATTTCTTTCTAGTAAACCCTAATAGAGTGTAATCAATGACTCAATGACTACCACATGACTGTAGATAGTTTAAAAAGAATTAAGGCTTTCTAAGTTTTAGTGCCCATTTTAAAAAAGCATGAAGATTTAAGAAAGCAAGCGGAGAATTGCTAAGTACCTTACCAGTTCACTAGCAAGAATTAAAACTCCTGAGAGATAATCTTCTACATCCAGATGAAAACCTTTCTCCCGATCTGGTTCAACTAAAAAACATCAAAATACAGACAAGGTCACAATATGAATGCAATTTAAGCCTAAGAATATAAATACATATTTATAAAAATTCAAATACACATGCATGTATGCATATACAAATAAAAGTTCTTTCAAAGTAAGTGAAGAAAGGATAAATCTTTACTGGATTCTTAAGACATTCACAACCTTGGCAAGACCACAATGCAGATTTTGCAAGCATTTAACCAAAATTTAATTTTTATTTCCAGTCCTTTCAAAAACTAATGCCAGCAAGAACAGTACCTAGTTATGTCAGAGAACATCCTTCTTGTAAGAAGACACAAGTTACACATTTACAGAAGTCCTGAAATCTGCACTTTTCCAAATGGTTATAGAGACACACGTGCCAACTGTTAACAAGCAGTGAGTCTAAGCACTTACAAAAACAGGTGTTTGGCATACTATTCTTTCAGCTTTCTCTACGCTAGAATTGTGGGGGAAGAGCTTTGAGACAGGTTTTACTATGTAGTTGAGGCTAACCTTGAACTCACTATGTAGTCCAGGCTGGCCTTAAACTTGCTGAGATCCTCCTGCCTTAGTCTCCCAAGTGCTGGGATTATATTGTGTGTCACACCTGGCTTGAAATTTTTTAAATTTAAATTTAAATTAAAAAAAGGAAGCACCCACATATAAATGAGCAAGCTACTATTTTAGATTTTGTGTTTCCAAGAAACAAGTTTGCTATTTAGTTTTTGTTTTAGTAAAAAATACAAGCAACAGCTCCTCCCACCAAAAACTAAGCTATCATGCCTGATTCTGTAGATACCACTAATAAAAACACTTACTGCCAAGAATTTCTGTAACTGCTTCTCGGGTCACTAGTGTTTCTGTTTCCAAATATACAACAAATGCTGCCAAGAAGACCAAGCGCTGCAACACAAACCTCCAGTGCTCATGAAACCTGCAGGACAGTAAGTGCATTTACATGGTGAGGTTTGGGACCTTCAGACAGGCTTAATACAGTTATGTCTAAACAGCTTGGAAATAGTGTACTTTCAAATAAAAGTGTATGTGAAATCCTACTACATAAAACAAGTAAGAGTGACAATATATTCAAATATATCAAATAGATTAGATATAAAATTTTGTAAGTTCAAATTGGTAACATTTACTTATCAGTAACAATGAGAAGCATAATCCAATTTTGATGATTATAAAAATATATAAAGATTATGAATGACAGTGTGATGTGCTTAAAAAGTTTAATTTGTAAGAATAACAACATTGTTCTGAGAAAAACAAACTTTGGAAATGAAGACTGATGCCAAGTATAATTGTATATAAGTCTCAACGTCTAATTTATCCCTATTCTTTGAGTTTAGGGTGTCAAGAAAATCTTGCTTAACAGAATTATTATTTGTAGTCACTAAACAGAGGACTTAGGGTATTGCAGGTCAGTGAGGTGAGTGCTTATAATTTCAGCACTTAGCAGGTTGAGGCAGAAGGATCACTTAAGCCTAGGAGTTCAAGACCAGTCTGGGCAACATGGCAACACTCTATTAAAAAAAAAGAAAAAAAAAGAAATAACACACTTCAGCTCTCTGATCTCTGAGGTAGAAGCCTGACAAAAGAAATAGGAATTCTATACTATGCCTCCTGATTTCAAATGTGGCAATAAATTCAAAATAATTTCTCAATACATTAATGGTCAAACTAAGTTTTCTGTGAGTGAATCCAGCCAGAGGCCAACCTGTATGTGACCTCCAGAACAGGTGGTCTCTAAAGACCTCGCCGGTTCAAGTATCTTGCTTTGTTGCACTTCAGTCATTATTTTACAGGAAGGACCAGCAAATTTTTTCTGTAAAGGGCAAGCAGCAAACACTTCAGACTTTACAGGCCATTTTCACTCTCTGTCACATATTCATTTCACTCTCTGTCACATATTTGTTTTTCTTTTAACAACCATTTCAAATGTGAAAACAATCCTTAGCTCTCACAGGCATTGGGTTACCAGTCATTTTCAAACCCCAGCCTAAAGCATTTTCTTTTAGTTATATTATCTACCACAACATACATCTTATATTAAGCATATATGTATCTTAAAATTAATTTTTTTTTAGTAAGAAAACAAAAGTAGAAATTCTTTATTCTAATTCATCATAGTTCATTAGTACTCAGTTGTTCCTAGTTTAACATCTACAAAATCCAGATACATTTTATAATCTACATTTCAAAATTATGATTAGGAACATTTTTTATTTTCTACTAGTATATAAAATAATGGACTAAACAAAATTAATGGTGTTATAGATTCAATGATACAGCATAAAACATTATCTAAATACTGTATATCCCTTGGCAGCAAAATTCCATCTTTGAAATAAACTGCCACTAGACAGTCAGGCACAGTACATGCCTGTAATCCAATCTACTCAGGACTGAAGGAGGAAGAATGCAAGTTCAAGTCCAGCCTGGGTAACTTAGCAAGATGCTGACTCAAAATAAAAGTTAAAAAAATGGCTGGGGATGTAGTTCAATGGTAGAGCACTTGCTTAAGATGTACAAAGCCCTAGGTTCAATCACCAGTGCACACATATACATAAACACACACACACACACAAAAACCAGCCTCAACTCCATATGTATATATATTGCCACCTAATCTCATAATCTTTATAATAGCAGGGGCAAACCTAGGGTACACGTGCCACAACAGGCTGTTTGTTATCACAGAAAGCTTTAAAAGGTTCGCTGTCACTGCTTTATAGCATAAGCATAGTTCACTCAATTGCACTGGAAACTGGAGTAAAAAGATATTCTCAATTTTGATCTTCAAACAGCAGATGCTATCTCAATAGACGTCAAAAAAGCATTTCATAAAGTCCAACACTCATTCGTGGTAAAAACTCTACAGAAAACTGCAACAGATAGTCTTTTATCTCAATCAGATAAAAACCACCTATGACAAACCAACAGCCAACATCATACTAAATGGTCAAAAATTGAAAGCTTTCACTTTAAAATCAAGAACAAGAGAAAGATGTCCACTGTCACCACTCCTATTCAATATAGTTCTGGAATGCCAGAGCAATTAGAAAAGAGAAAGAAATAAAAGGAATAATGATAGGAAAGGAAGAAGTGAAATTATCATTACTTGCAAATGACATGATAATCTACAGAGAAGACCCCAAAAACTCCAAAAAAGGATTGCTAGATTTAAAAACCAAATGCAAGGGGCTGGGGATTTAGCTCAGTGGCACAGCGCCTGCCTGGCAAGCGCAACGTCGTGAGTTCGATTCCCGGTACTGGAAAACAAACAAAAAAAAAATTTTAAAAATTTAAAAAATAAATAAAAACCAAATGTAGCCACATACCTGGATACAAGGTCAACACTCAAAAATCAATACTATTCCTGTGCAGAAACAACAAACTCACTTGAGAGACAAATGGGAGAAACTACACCTTTCATAATAGCATGAAAAAAAGGAAATACGTTGGAACCGATCTAACAAAGGAAGTAAAATATCTTTACAGTGAAAACTATGGTACTCTGAAAAAGGAAATTGAAGAGAATATCAGAAAATGGAAAGATACGCCTTGTTCTTGAGTAAGAAGAACCAACATAATGAAAATGTCCATGCTCCCAAAATTGTTATACAGATTTAATGTAATCCCAATCAAAATATCATTAGTATACCTCACAGAATTAGTGAAAACAATCCTAAAACTCATTTGGAACCAGAAGAGACCTAGAATAGCAAAAACAATTCTGGGCCACAAAGGAAAGGCAGAGGGCATTACAATCCCTGACTTTAAATCATATTGCAAAGCTACTGTGATAAAAACAGCATGGTACTTGGTACTGGGGGGAAAAAAAAAAAAACCCAAGGATCAGTGGAACAGATTAGAAGATGCAGAAAAAACTTCAAAAACACACTCAGCCATCTTATCTTTGACAAAGTGGCCAACCACCTTCATTGGAAGATAGCCTCTTTAATAAAAGGTGTTGGACAGTTCATAATAGCTAAATCTTGGAAACTACCAAAATGCCCGTAAGCCAAGGAATGGATAAAAAAGATGTGGTTTTTTTTTTTATACAATGTAGTACTACCCAGCCATAAAGGATAAAGCTGAGACATATGCAGGTAAATGGATGCACCTTGAGACCATACTCTTAAGTGAAGTACACTGGACACCAATGTGTAAATATTAGCTGATTTCTCTGGTATGAGATACTGAATGTATAAATAAGGACCAATGTGTATAAAAGGTATTATGAAATAGGAAGAAATTGTTCAAAAGAACAGAGAACTAGGGAGGGAGAAGGCAGACAGCAAGGAAGAGAAAAGGAAAAAAAAAGTCCACACTCAAGTGAAATAAATCAGACACACATGTTTAAATATCACAATGTTTCTCTGGTGGGAGAAACTGAAAGTGTTAATAAGGACCAAAATGTATAACAGATACTGGGAAAAAGGAACAAAATATTCATATGGGAAGGGAAACAAGGGATGGGGCAGGGGAAAAGGAAGGAAGGTGAAAAAAAAATAGAAGCAAAACATCAAAACAAAGCTTTTATAAATAAAGTGGGGAAGAGGGGTTGGAAAGGAGAAAAGGAGGAAAGGAGACTAAGGAAAAAAGAGTCAAGAAATATCATGTACAGGTACAAACTTCCTCTAATGAATATGATCATTATGCATATCTAAGTTGCACCAATAAAATTAGTCAAAAAACAAAAAGGTGCTAGGAAAAACTGGCTTTCCACACGCCAAAGACAAAAATTAGATTCATGTCTCTAAACTAAAATCAAAATGCATCAAAGATCTAAATATCAAAACAAGCCAGGTATGGAGGCACATGCCTTTAATCTCAGCATTCAGGATGCTGAGGCAGGAGGATTACCATAAGTTTGAGGCTAGCTTGGTCTATATATTGAGGTCAAGGCCAGCCTGGAATACATAGCAAGATCCTGCCTCAAAAAAACAAAAATAATAATAATAATAATAATATCAAAGACAGAAACACTCAATCTGCTAGAAGATAGAATAGGCAGAACTCTTAAAGACACTAGTATAGGCAAAGACTTTACGAACAAAACCCAGACCACAAGGGAACTATTACAAAGAATCAACTGGGATCTCATCTTATTATAAAGCTTTTACACAGAGAAAGAAATCATTAACAGAGTAAAACAATCCACTAAGTGGGAAAAAAATTTTGCTAGCTATCCCTCAGACAAGAGACTAATACTTAGAATATATAAAGAACTCAAAAAATCAGACCCTTCCCCAAATTTAAAGACCCAATCCAAAAATGGGAATCTGAAATAAAGACACTTCTCAGATGAAGAGGTAGAAATGGCAAATAAATATATGAAAAAAATGTTCAACATAATTGGTCATTTGAGAGATGCAAATTAAAACACACTTGAGATTCCTTCTCCAAAAAGAATAGCTATTAAAAGAAATCAACCAATAACAAATGCTGGCAGGCCTATGAAGAAAAATGAACCCTTATCCGGTGGTGGGAATGTACACTGGTGTAATCGCTATGGAACTCAGTGTGGAGATTCCTCAAAACACTAGGACCAGAGGTTCCATTTGACCCAGATAGTGCCCTTCTTGGTATCTTCCTAAAAGAATTAAAGAATCATACCACAGTGATGCATGCACACCCATGTTTACAGCAGCACAGTTTGTAATGGCTACATCTTGGAAACAACCCAAATACTCATCAACTGATGAATGGATAAAGAAGACAGAGTTTTTCATACAATGGAGTAGTACTCAGCCATGAGGAAGAATAAACATGAGATTTACAGGTAAATGGACGGACCTTGAGACCATACTCTAAAGTGAAATAAATCGAACACATATGTAAATATTATAGTTTCACTGGTGTGAGAAACCTAAAGTGTAAGTAAGGACCAGAATGCACACTATATATTATGAAATAGGAAGAAAATGCTCAACTGGGAAGGGGAACAAGGAAGAAGGATGGGGGAAGGGAAGGAAAAGGGGAAGGGAAAAGAAAAAGGAAAAAAAGAAAAGAGGAAGAAATAGAAACAAGGCTTTTGTAAATGAGAGGGGAAAGAGGAATTGAAAGGAGGATAACACAATGGAGGGGAAAAAAAGAAGAATTGAGATAAATTATGCACAGATACCAAGTCCCTGTGATGAAAGTGGTCATTATTATTTAAAATGTGCCAATAAATTTAATAAAAAAAATCATTTCATGTCAAAAAAACAGGTATTTTCTTAATCACTTTTTCACTGCAAAGTAATGTATGCTCCTTAAAATTTTTTTCAAAGTAAAATGGAGGAAAAATAAAATTATCAATTTTGTCACCACCATTATCAGCATGATTCTTTTCATCACTTCTTCTACACACAGAGATTTTTACCTAATAATAAGCAATCATTCAGTATCTATAGTCTTCAGATCTTTTTAACCGAACATTACAAAATAATACTATTTTTCTTTTTTAACCTAACATTACAAAATAATACTATTTTTCTTACAAACCTGTAATACTGTTCAGCAGGGAACTTGGTCTTCAATGATGTTAGATGTGTTTTTACTGTGCCAAAATGTTCTCGAGCTTTCAAACACCTCTTTGGAACTGATCACAAAAGGTAATCAAATGTAATAATTAAAAACTTAGCAAATTTCCAATATAGTTCTTGCTAACTCTTGTAGTCCACCTAAACATTAATCAACTTTTTTTTACAATCTCACAACCACACACACATATCTTGGCTATCGAAATACTACACCTAACTTCCCTACTGATTAACCATACTGAAAAATAAAAACTAGCTGAAACAATGTGTGTTAAGGAAGACACCCATAATCTGAAAAGCCTCATAATCTTTAAGGGTCTGTACATCAGCTGCTATTCTTATTCAATCCTCAGATGACTAAAATTGGACTCCTTCTAGCTCTCACATTTGGTCAAAAGAGCTTTTACCAATTATTCTCTATCAAGTCAAGCATCTCCACATCACTAAGTAAATGACTTGCTTCTGACACCTGTCAGCTACATTACTGTATTCTTCTCCATCTGAAAATAATTTCAGTTCTTTTAGCTATGCTCATATATTTTACAACATAGATTCCATGTCTAAACTTGACATGTAACTCTCATTCAAGGGGCTGACTGTAAACTCATTAGACAACATTTTATACTGGCCACCTCATACCTACACATGCATATAACAGTTAATCATAAAAAGGTTGGATTCAAACACACAAGCTGGATGCAGTGGCACACGCTCTCCTGCTCAGGAAACTATGGTGGGAAAATCACTTGAGCCCAGGAGTTCAGGACCAGTCTAAACAACACAATGACACACCATTTCAAACATGCACACATACACATATGCACACATACACACAAACACCAAAGTTGCTAGATATGCAAGTTATTAAATAATTAATTAATGCCAATAGAATTCCATCACAATATAAAACATCCCTATGTAAATTACACCATGCAAAACTGGAAAATCAAAACACAAAGACTCCTTATAAAACTGTAAGATGATTAAACCACTACTCCAATTTTTACTCACTATACACATAATGAACATTTATCATAATAAAATGATTCAAACTAGGTATATCTTCTGGATGGAACTCAAATAAGAGATTGATAAACTGAATAAAAGTCTTCAAACTCAAAGAACTTACTGTCCTGAAACCCAGCACCCTGATGGACCCCTTGCAGTAGAGTTAAAATCTCTCGAGCTGTTTGTTCTAAACTCTGTACAACTTTTCGGATTTCCTAGAAAGAATTAAAAATTAAAATCAGATAAAATCAACATAATCATTATCACAAACTCATACCAATCACACTAGACAGTATATTTAATCTGCCACTTTCGTATACATTTAAAACATTAATAATTTTCACAAGGAATGAACCTGTATTTTAAAAAATACACGTTTAAATCCTGACTTTTCCACTTATTTCCTTTGTGAGACCTTCAGGAAGTCACTAAAAAGCCTTAGATTCTTCTTGTAGCCTTCAAAGGACACTAGCCACTCACCCATCCGAATTATCCAACTAGAATACTACAATGACTAGAATACACAATCATAAGAATGCACTCTAAGTATTCCTCATTAACTCATTTTACAAATACTCAATAAGTATATTTATGTGCTCCACACTGTATAAATACTGGGGAACCAGACGGTTCCTCTCTAACCTTAGCAAATAATGGGGGACACAGACATTTTTAAAAAATAATTGTCAAATTTCTTGAAAAATTAACGTGCCAAAAAAATAAAGATGAAAAAGTTAACATGTTATAAGAAAACGTAACAGAAAAAGCCACTTCAATAGTGAGGTCAAGGAGACGAATGTAAGATGAGGAAAAGAATAGGAAAACAGCAAATTCCAAGAAGCGAGCAGTGCTTGCAAGAGTCCTGAGAAAGGCAATTATTTGAGGCACTACAAGAACAAAAAGGTGAATGGTTCAGTAACAAAACATACACACACATATTCAAGGGGAAAACGAGACCAGACAGAACTTGTGGACTACACTATAGTCTGTACTTTTAACCCACTTGAGATAGACAGCCAAGGGAGAGTTTTAAAGAGACGATTCATATGTGGTTTTAAAACAACATATACAGGAAATGTGCACTGGCTGAGCCCCACGCACTAACCGAATCTTCGACATAAACAAGTGCTGCAAAGGAGGAAAGCCGACATTCAAATGAGACAAGTGATCCTGAGAAACCGAGACCTGGACACAGACTCAGGACAGAAACGGGGGCGGGAGGGGGAGCGGAGAGGTGCCCTAACCTGCAACTAGAGAGGAAGCAAACCACCCTCGGAGGCGTCCCCACCGCCCGAGATTGAGCGACGGAGGAGGGCCAAGCGGTGTGGCCCAGCTAGGAAGGGAAAGGGAAAGGGGATGGGAGGGAGGAGGCTCGCCTCTCGGATGTCCTGTTCGGCAGCCAAAAAGCCCTGCAGCTCTACGAAGATTTCGCTCACAGACATGGCGCCAGGTACACAGCAATCAGCAAAGGTGGTGAAGGCGACCACAGAAAAACGTTCCACAGGCAACCTGCTCAGTCAATTCCTACGCCCGCCACCGCCTCGTCTACCCGGCTCTACGCCACAGCTGTCGCTGGGGTCCTCCGAGGCCCCCGGCGCCCTGGAGACCGGGCTGTCCAGCGCACTGCCTGAGGCGCGCCACGCAGAGTCCTGAGCAGAAGCCGGGGTCCAGAGGCCTACGAGAGGAGAGTGGGCGGGGCTTCGGGCTGGTTCTTCCAAATAGGCATAGCCAGAAACAGCCCCCGAAGGGGGCCTTGAGAGCACGTGGGCCTGAAGGAGGTGGGGCGAGCGGCTGTATGGGCTGATATATTTATGTTTAGCCTCTGTACCACAGCTGTCGGGTGAGAGGTTGCTTGTAACCAGAGAGTATGCATGAAAAACTGGGTGCAGAAGAATGTAGAAACAATGCAATCTTCATGTAGAAGTGAGGGATGGAGGCATTGTTACTTCCAAAAAATACTCAGGGAAATAGAATTACCTGTAGGACTGCGTGAGTAGGAAATGGATTGGGAGAGAAATTTTCCTCTATGCGCGTCTCTTTAATTTCATTGTCTCTGTATGATTATGGTTTTTAGTTAAATTGATTTTTAAACGTATGACATGTTGGGAAGTCTTTCTTCTACTTATCTAATACCTAATTCCCCTTCCCTGAGGCCAGCACTATAAATTATTCCATACACCTACCTGCAAATGCGTGATGCACTTTCCAAATAAATTAGGGTGACTCTTGTCAACCAAATGATAGTGCACGGCTTGCTTTGTGCCATCCGTATATTATCCTGAACTCTACGTGAAAGATGTTTAGTTCTCATAGTCTTGTGAAATTAATCTGATAAATGAAGTAACTGATAACAGATTGATATGTCTGAGGTCCTATGTATCTAGGTGTTAAAGCTGGGAAGCAAATGTTGGGCTGTACTATTGGTCCCAGTACTATTATCCTCTCCCACAATTTAACAGTATAGTTACTAGTGGCTTTTAAATACCATTTAATTTAACCGGCACAAGCCTAGGTTGCAGGCTAGAAACCCGTTTTAGCAACTTCTCCAAAGAGGAGAGTTTTTGTTTATTTGTTGTTTGTTTTGGGATTTTTTTGCCTGTGTACCTCACACATATGTGCCATTTTTTGTTCCAAAAACTTGGGCAGTTTAATTTCATAATACACACACGAAAGATGGTGATAGCAATAGGACCTATTACAGTTTGTCGCGAGGCGGGGGGGGGGGGGGTTTTGGTTTTCTGTAAGAGCTATTATTTATTGAGACTTAGTTCCTAACACGTTTTTAGCACTATTTTGTTTGTTTATTTGCAATACTAGGGATTGAACCCAATGCTTTTGCACAGAGCTACAGCGCAGTTTTCATTCTTAATTTTGATAGAGTTTTCCTAAATCGTCCAGGCTGGGTTTGAATTTGTGATCCTCCAGAGTCAGCCTCCCACAGTGCTTTGTTTCAGCATCTTCATATATGTTAGCTAACTTCATACAAATCCAAATTGATTTTTCAAATTCTGCAACGTATCTAGGCCAACTCAAACACTGACCTTCCAAATTGTAGTGTAGCAGAAAATGCACCCCTGCCCCAGCCACTGTACTTCAGTTTGTTAGTTGCCCAGGTAATAGTTCCTGTTCCAGTTCCAGTTGCTTCTGGTCTCTTAGAAACGGCTGGTCATTGTGATCATAGCTGGTCACTGTGGTGCATAATGTACACACCAGCCCCCAATTAGCAAGCCATTCTGCCTCAGTACATCCTGCTTGCTTATCCAATATAAGCCCTACACCACCAGACATCAAGGCTAGATATTCTGGGAATGATTTCAGTCAGTGCCCATCAACATGAACAAATCTGCCTCCAAATCCTGTGTCATTTCAGTGTTTCTGTGTGCTATTGCAGCAGAAGAAATAGAAACCTGCCAAATAATTTTTTCACTAAAAATCTAAGATTTTTTAAACAAGAAAAAAATAACAACATATACTATATGCGTAAGGCATGGGACCATTAGATTCCTAATGAATTTTTTTATGCACCTCCTAAGGGTATTTCCTCTCCTATCCAATCAGAATTATTAACACCTATCTATAAAAGGTAGGAGGACTGGGACAAAGTGGCAGCAACTTGTAGTCTGAACTGCTGAGGAAGCTAAAGACAGGAAGGCAACTTGAGCTCAGGAGTTTGAGGCCAGCCAGGAAAACATGGAAAGACTCCATTGGGTCTAGAGGTGGTTATAAAAAAATGTATGCCAACAAGAAAACAGCCTGTTGCTAGTCACAGGTGCAAGTCTCTCGGTCCTTCTTTTCAATCCTGGCCTTC